GGACTCAATGCAGGCGGAGGCGCAGGCGCAGGCGCAGGCGCGGGCGGAGGCGGAGCCGTCGCGCAGCATTTCACACGCGCGCTTTCCGCGCCGTCCGCCGGCGGCGCTCGGGAACCCGCGGACGGGAGCGGGGCTCGCGCGGAGAGGGAGACCTCCCCCGCGGATGCGGATGGGGACGCGGGGGACGGCCCCGCCAGTAGCAGCCCGCAGAGCAGTCCCGCGGCCTCTGGCGGAACCCAGACGCAGGACGGCGGAGGAGGGGACACCGAGGATAAAAAGAACTCGACGGCGGTGCGGGAAGAATGGACGGACGAGGCGACAGATGCGGTGTTGGAAGTATGGGCGCGAAAGCACCTGTCTTTAAGTCGCGGCAAGTTGAAGAAGCACGAGTGGGAGGAGGTGGCGCTGCGCGTTAGCGAGATGCTCGGTCACGCGAACGCCAAGACGTGGCTACAATGCAAAAATAAGATCGACTCGATTAAAAAAAAATACAAGGCCGTGCGGTGCCAGCTTGCCGCGGGCGGCTCGGTCAAGCGCGAATGGCGGCTGTACGACCGAGTAGATTACCTCTTAGGCGGCGGCTCCGCGAGTCACGGGACAGGCAGCATGGGTAGACCTCCTCCTATCGGCTCCGCGTCTTTATTCTCGACCGTGGGCGCCACGTCGAGCAATAGCAGAATGCCAGGTGGCGCCTTCGGAGCTGTTTACGGCAGCGCCGGGATTAGCGGCGGAATGAGCGGCGGAATGAGCGGCGGGATGGGCGGCGTGATTGGCGGGGGAATGGTAAATGGGCTTCCAGGAGTGATGGGCGGCGGTATGGGAAGCCTCATGGGGGCCGCTATGGGGAATAACGGGCTCGTCTCCGCCGCGGTCGCCGCCGCGAATGTCGCTCTTGGGACGAACGCAGCTTTAGGATCGTCGCGCGTGTTTCCCGGGAAAATGGGGTCAATCGCAGGTGACAATGTGGTTACCGAAGCGAGCGACGACGACGATGACGACGACGATGACGACGACGACGACGACGACGAGGACGAAGGGGACGGAGCGAACGGCGGAACGAGCGCGCAAGGCGGCAGGGGCGGCGCCGCCGCCGTCGGCGGCAACAGCGCGGTCAACCCGCCGTTGCTGCAAGATTCGCTGATGAAGCAGCGGCGGTCGTTCAGCCTTCCGCTGGACCCGCGCATGCAGCACTTGATGGGGAAAACCGTCGCTTCCCCCGGCGGGGGTCTGGGGCCGGGGGGAATGATCGGGGGAATGATCGGGGGAATGCAGATGGCCCCGGGCGGAATGATGGCCGCGCTGGGCAGCCCCATGGGCGGAGCGCTCGGCGCGTCTCCGCACCAACACGCGCAACACGCGCAAGCGTACGGGATGGCGGCGGCGGGGGGAATCGGCGCGGGGGGAATCAACGGCGTAGGCGGAAACCTCACGTCGCCGGGGGGGACCTCGGGGGCGGGAGGGTTAGCGAACGGCGCGCTGCGGCCGTCGGCGGCGAAGCTGAAGCGGAAAGCGTCGTCGGCGGCGGTTAAAGACCTGGCGCTGGCGGTGCGCGAGTTCGCGTCGGTGTACGAGCGCGTGGAGCGCGCTAAGGTGGAGCAGATGGTGGAAATGGAACGACTGCGACTCGAGTTCAGTCTCGAGATGGAAGTGCGGCGCATGAAGGTGCAATTAGAGGTCGCTAGGCTCGCGGGCGGCGGAAACGGCGGCGGAGCGGGCGGGGGAGGGGGAGGCGGAGGGGGTGCGGGGAGTATGAGCGCCGCCGCGGCGGCGGCGGCGGTGGAGCTGGCTGGCGGAGCGGATGGGGGGATTGCGGGGATGGTGGGGACGGGTTCCGTGCTTCCGCCGGGCTCGTTACAATGACACTCGATAAGAGCACTCTCTGAAGTGCCGTGAAGCCAGGTACGCTAAACGAGCGACACGCTACCCCTCCCCCACCCAACCCCCACGCCTCCCGTGGCTCTCTGGTTACGCTCGCATGGCACTAGAGCGGGACAGAGAGAATGGAGGGAGCGTATGGAGCAGAAGGAATGGAAGGAATAGGAATGGAGGGAAGGGAAGGAAGAGGAGTAACAGGGACAAATGGGGCAAGAGAGGGAACATTGGGAGCAAGGGACAACGAGTAGGGCGCGGTGGGTTTGAGAGGTGCTGAGAGAAGCACCGCCACCGCCACCGTTCCATGAGCACGTGGTTGCCTGCTGAGTGACACTTTGGATTCGGATGGTGTGCTCGTGTGCGGTGAGGTGAGGTGAGGTGAGGCGAAGTGAGGTTAGGTGAGGCGAGGTGGGATGAATTACCCTGCTGAGAGGCAAGGGAAGCATGCCCTCGCGTAGTGTGTAGCTTCATGGGACGCTGGGTGCTCGCCCTGTCAGAGTGACGGCAGTCATTGCCTGAGAGAGGAGTCACAGCTGCTGGCATGGCATGTGAGCTCAACAGGGATCACTGGCGGGCGGGCGGGCGCCTCTTTGCAATGCCCATTATGCTCAACAACGAATTACAATATACCAGTGACTAACTCTCACCCCTCTTTGCTCTGTTGCCTCTGCGTCCCTCCCTCCCCTCTGCCATGCCCTCTGTCCCCTATGTCCCCTCTGCCCCCTCTGTTTCCTACCCCATCCGCAGCATCTCTCATTGATCCGCTGACAGCTGTCCACCCTCACTCACATCTTATCCCTCATAGCTCATCCTCCTCCACCATGTACCATGAACTCCACTACGCCCCAATGCCACCCTGACCCTGACCATCTCCCTCTCACCCTCACCATCTCCCTCTCACTCTGACCATCTCCCTCTCACTCCACCACCTCCCTTGACAGCCCACTTAAAGCAGCAACTCTCCTCCCCAGCAACTCACCAGCACAACTCACCACTCACCAACCTCGCCTCTCCAGCCCTCCGGCCCCACCTGCTACTGCTCCCCCATTTTAGCGCCTCTCTGCTCAACCCCACAGCAGCAGCAGCAGCGGCGGCGGCGGCGGCAGCAGCAGGATGAGCACGACACATTAGTTCCACATGCCCCCTGCATCACGTTGCCCGCTCCCCCACACAAGTACCTAAGGGCTTGCAGCAGCCGCAGCAGCAGCAGCAGCAGCCGCAGCAGCAGCAGCAGCCGCAGGAGCAGCAGCAGCGGCGGCGGCGGCGGCGGCGGCGGCGGCGGCGGCGGCGGCGGCGGCGGCGGCGGCGGCAGCGGCGGCGGCGGCGGCGGCAGCGGCGGCGGCGGCAGCGGCAGCGGCAGCAGCAGTAGCATTCCGCTTTGGTGGTTGATGCGAGTGCTGTGAGCAGTTGAGGCAGAGAGAGCCCTTCTTCCCTTCTGACAGCACCACTCCATACAGTCACATCCAATGACATGGGAGCAGCAACTCCCACGCCATGCATCCTCGATCTTCTGCTCATGCAGCCGTGCCTGGTTTGTGATGGCCTCTTCTTGTGCATTTGCACCCATATCTCGTTGGAACGGAGAAAGTTGAAGGAACGGTATCAGGGTTGAAAGTGGTTCTGGTGGCGGTGGCATTGCAGTTAGAAAGGGAAGCGGGGAGGATATGGGGAGAGGGAGCGGGAAGATGGGAGGAAGGTGAAGATTGGGAGGGTGAAGAAGGGAAGAGGGAGATTCTGTGCAGCGTGTTGGGAAGCTGAACTCTTCAGAGGCGATGCATGAGCATGAAGGAACAGGGCATGTGAAGAGAGAGGGGCTGTGGTGTGGAGGTTCACCTATTTAGGTAGCTCAGCCTGTAGAACACTACCAATGCAGCTCACTCACAACTGCGGATGATTGAAGGCTTCTGCTGTATCCGCTCTCGCGGGTTCTTAGTGTTGGTTACCTTCAACAATAGTCAGTTGAGTGATAAAACAAGAGTTATCACGTTGAAGACAAGTAATGATCACTACCTACCTATGTGCTCATACTGGCAAATATTTCTGCAAATTTTATCAACATAATTCCTAGGATGGCCTGTTGCAACCTTTACACCACTGTATATTAGTTCATAAAACGCATTTCTTTGCAATGAGAATTCCTGTTCGTCGCGCAAGCTGTCTGGGTCAGTGGGAATGCCTTCGCAAACGGCGGATGTGCAAAACTCTCTGCACAATCTCGGGCAAAAATTAGCTCCCGTGGAAAATGTTTGTCTGCAACGGTGAGCAGGGAATGTGATGTTTGATTGGCCCACACATCGCAAAGATTACGAGAAAGTTCTGCCCGTCCAACTAGCCGCGCACATTTGCCGCGTTTCGGCCCAAATCACTGTTTGATATTAGCTAGGCGGTAACCAGCCAACCGAACAGCCAATCCAACCAGCAGCACATCCTACTATTGGGCAAGGCAACGGCTATGAAATAATCGATGGCTGCCTACCTCACTGCCCCTACTCAATCTGCCCGTGAAAATACGCATGAAGGCTGTTGATGGCAGTGTCAGTCACAGTACCACACACCGCAATTGCTCCTTACCGCGCAGTACACCTTGTGGTTTTAAATTAATTCAATAACATTGTTTTCTCCGCGCAGGACGTTATTTTCTTCGGAATGATTGGGCTGTTGTGCTGAAAGCCGCTCCCCGTGTCAGCGGAAGCCATAGTACAAGCAGCTTTATTTTGTCGATAAAACATATGAAAGTATACGTTTGTGCTTTCCGCCTGCCCATGTCGTGCAGCCGCCGCACACTGCCCCCTGATCGTTGGGTTTTGAGTGTTGTTGATGCCTTCCGAGTCGCATGATGGCCCTGAAATGTTATGCACAAAGCACAGGGCAGTGGGTTTCCTGCCCGGTTTTCCCTGTGGTGCTGAGGTAACAGTACATAAATCCCATTCTGTTGTCAGCATAGTCACACTCAGCATTTCCTGGGGTCACCGATTTTCTGGCTGCTCCCTCCTCATATCCACAGCAGCCAGCCTCTTTGCATCGTCTCCAGTGGCAATCGCCAGCCGCTGTGACTACAAAGGCCAGCTCCTGCTTTTAGGCCACTCCGCCTAAGAAAAGGTTGACCTTATCACATCCGGCGCATCGCCATGGCTCGCCGTGCGTCCCCATCGTCGAGGATGGTCCTCACCTTCGCCGCGCTCCTCTCCGCGTCGATCTTGGCGGCGAGCCTTCCGCGTCTCGCGGACGCAGTTCCCGTCTCGTTCGTGCTGACTCAGGTCCGCAACAAGACGAACACGTCCCCATTTACCGCGGACATTTCCGCGGGAATGGTGGAATTCGCCGCGGGATACGACAAGGTGGACGACATTGCAGGAGGAACCCTTTTCCTGCCCATTGACACTGCGTGGACTACCGCGCTCGACGGATACAAGGCCCTGAACGCGACTGCGACGACCGCGTCGGACCCGCTTCTCGAGGCGCTAGATACGTTGGTGAAGTCTAAGGGGGCTCTGGCGGCCCTTAACTCCATGACCAGTGGTGGACGGAACGCGCTGTCGCGGCTCGCTAAGTTCATGGCGATTCGCGAGTACCTCGACAACACGAAACTGAACAGCACCGTGAGTCTCTTCCCACGCCTCAGGTTTTGACTTCTTACGCTTTTCGCTTTCGAAGGAAAAATAATCAATTAAAACAAAGCCAAAAAACCATGATGAACAAAAAACAAATCAGATTAGAAAAGCCAAGAACCATAATGAGCCAAAAAAAAAAAACAAATCGAATAAAGAATAAGCCAAAGAACCGTGTCCCCGTCACACGTCTGTTTCTCCCTCGCGCCCTCCCCCCTATGCGCAGTACAAGAGCGGCCGGTTCAGCTTCAGTTCGCTGATGAACCAGAACATCTGGCTATACGGCGACACCGCAGAAAACTCCTGGTTCCTCACCGGAACCGACCCCGATTTCCTACTCAAGCCCCCTACCGGTTCCGCCAAGCTCGCGGCCACGGCTGCTCCCCCCCCGGCGTCCGCCTCCTCCGCCGCGCCTGCTTCCGCGCCTGCGCCCGCTCCTCTCGTGGACACTACCGTTGACACGCCGCCAGCGGCGGCTCCCGCGCCCGCGGTCGCGGCCCCCTCGCCCGCGGGCGCGGCCCCCGCGCCCGCTGGAGGGCTTGTGGCGGGAAGTGGCGCGGGAGGGCCGAAAGCCGTCTCGGTGGTGGCGATTGTTCTGCCGCTGTTCTCGAAGAACACGATTCTGGGTGTAACGACGTCGTCGTCGGATGTGTCGGTGAACCTGGTGTCCGATGTGGTTTTCCCCAGCAACATGGCCTCGCTCACCATGTTTGACGCTACCTCTGCTTACGGCACTGCTAACAAGGGTGAGTTTTTTGGAAAATATGGACGTTTGCTTTTTCTGCAGAATGTACTGCTGGCTAGGGGAAGTGATTCAAAGAACACCATGGTGCTCCTGAATTGCAAACGGAATTCACACCTAAATCCGAAACCCTGACCTCAAACCCGAAATCCTGAACTTGCTTTTCCTTGTGTTTTTTGCGCCCTCATTTGCGTGGGTTGTGCAGGTGCCAATGCTCTGTTCAGCAACGGAATTGCCCTCCTTGCAGCTCTGATGGCGCTGCTTGTGCTCTTTTGAAAGGAGATAGCCAGTGTAGCAGTTCTTTAGATGGACAAAGCGGGCTACACGTACACGATTTTGGTGTGTTAGTGACTACCCAGAGTAGGAGGCGGCTATACCACTGGGTAGTTGCTAAGGCGATTAGCTTTGTGACACAGATTGGTTCATAAGTTCTTAGTGCAGTAAGCTCTAGCTGGAGCACAAAGTGCCACATGGTTGGGTTTATCATTTGTTGGGAGATAAACAAAATCCCAGCAAGTGTTGAAGTCTTATGTCCCCACATTATCTGTTCCAGACACAGCGAATCACGTTGCGGCAGCGCCAGTTTGTTGCCAGACAAATTTATTCCATTCGCGAAGCTGCTATGCTATTCCGTGTCGCTAGACACACATTTTTCGCTGGCGAACGAAAATCCGCGCGGCCATTGGCGCACGACTGACGCGAGACCTGACCAACCCAGCCGTGCTGGCAGAGGAAGTCTGCGCGCGACCGGCGAAAGGGCACTCTGGATTTCGCCACTGTGCCTGCTGCTGACCAGCTTTTGTCTGCGTGCAGTGCTGCTGACCTCTGTTGCGTGGCAGATTCAACTCGTCCCTCCCTCCCACTCCCTCGTCTCGTTTCTGCTCCACTACTCTCCGAGGCTGCTTGTCGGGCTTCCGAGCTCCACTCGTCATTCTGGAAACTCCCCGCTGGCACATGAGAACCTGCGATATTACGCGGAGCAGCTGTGAGTTTCAACGCAGCTCTCTGTGTACTCCGTGACCGTTGCTGCGACAAGGGACGCTGGCGCTGGAAGAGCATTCTTGAGGTTGGGAGATAGTAATTCGTTCTTAGAACTGCGGCGCGGACGCCCGTCCAGGTTAGGACAACATTCCGTAGTATAGACAGTACATTGGTATTACTTATCGTACCACACCCCCCCGCCCCCTCTCCATTTCCCCCAATTCCAAAACCTCGTCAGCGGTGAGTAAATGCAGAAAAGTCGCCATCAATATCACCTCCGGAGTGTAAATAACGCCTTCTCGTAGCTTCTCCTCCGCCTCCCGTCTCCCGCCTTCCGCGTTCCGCCTCCCGCCTTCCGCCTTCCGCAAGCTCGCGCAGCGCCGGGGCCGAACGGGAAGCACCAGGCCACGTTCTTTTCCGAACGCGACGAAAAACCTTTTCCTTCCGATCGCGGCGCCGACAGTCTCCCTTCGAAACACGGTGTTGGCACAGGCGGATACGTACGCGCGCCCTTCCGCCTCTCGGCGCGCGGCGGAACCAACCAATGGCGTACGGCGACGACGACGAATACGACCGCGCGGCGGGCGCGGGCGTGCCCATGGGGTCCTGGACCACGGGGTGCTGCGCGTGCGCGGACGACTGCGCTGGAGGTGAGCGCGAGCGCTCGGCGCGGCGCGTGGTGTGAGCGTGCGCGGCGCGTAATTTGCACTCGTGTAGATGCGAGGGGGGGGGGGGGGTTGGGAGTGGGTGCTTCTCTCATGAAATGAATGGCGTTTGTCAGCTGCTGTGAACGTTACCCGAAAGCCAACCTCCAACTCCACCCCCAGGGTGCGGCCATGGGATTGCGCGGCCGGGGTCGGCCGTGGGGGATGGTGTTCACCGCCCAAACCCACTGCCGGGTTCGGCCATCATTCATCCCCAGCGGGGATCATTGCATGCGTCAATGCACCTGGCTCTCCGCCTCCCCGCGCGAGCGACTCTCTCCATTGCGCACTCCGTGCCTCCGCACATACTGCTTCCTGCTGCCGCCTGCACGCCTGCACTCCTGCACTCCTGCTCTGTCCCCTTCGAATGACCTCACAGCACACCCTCTCCACTCCCTCCACCCTCCCTTACCCCGTCCTTTTCCCCCTCCTCTCTCTCCCTGCGCGCAGCGCTGTGCGCGTGCATGTGTCCGTGCGTGGTGGTGGGGCGCATTGCCGAGGTCGTCACCGACGGCTACACCGGTGAGCGCCTCTTGACTCGTTGACTCTTGATCGTGCGTCTTGCCTCTTGACTCTTTCCCCTTGTCCATGTCCCGCCTCCACCCGTTGGTCTTGCTACTTTGGTACCGTGCACGCCTTTCAGGTTCAACCCTCGACCTGCCAGTATTTCAAATCTTCAGAGCTGGCAAACATCCACCTCCCACCCCACTTCTCATCCCCCAACCCCCATCCCCCAACCCCCATCCCCCATCCCCCATCCTCCATCCTCCATCTCCCATCCCCCATCTCCCGTTGTCCGCTCTGCGCATTCCCCAACGCAATCCTTTAAAGAGCATTCTACCCGCCGTCCCCATCACCAGCACCACCACCCACACCTCGCTTGCTCCCCACCCTCCCTTTCCATCTCAGACGCGTGTGTGGCGGCGTGTCTCTTCTGCTGCATGCAGCTCTGCTCCATGGGCGCGCTCGGCTGCTGCTACTCGCACTGTGAGCGCGCTGGGACACTGGGCATGGGGTGTATGGGGTGTATGGGGAATGGATGGGGAATGGATGGGGACGAGTGGAATGGTTGTGCAAATAAGATGGGTGTCTGGACTATACATACCTGTGCTCTTTCCCCCACCCCTCCCCTTTTATTCCTTTTGCCATAAATTCGATATGTTTCAACGCCCACCCCTAACTTCACTTTTCCCCGTCCCCTCTTCCTCCCCCCATTTACCTCCTTCCGAGCGCCCCAGTGTTCCGAGCGCGCCTGCGCCACAACTACATGCTGCCAGCGGAGCCGTGTCCCGACTGCTGCAAATCTCAAACAACTCCTCTCACCTTCCCCTCCCCCTCCCATCCCCTCCCCGCCCCTCCCCCCATGTCCCCACCCATCTCCCCCCTTCCGAGCACGCCAGTGTTCCGAGCGCGCCTGCGCCACAACTACATGCTGCCAGCGGAGCCGTGCCTTCATCTCCCCCTCCCCTCTTTCCCCCCGCCCATCTCCCCCCTCTCCATGCGCCCTGCAGTGTTCCGCGCGCGCCTGCGCCACAACTACATGCTGCCAGCGGAGCCGTGCCCCGACTGCTGCGTGCACGCGCTCTGCCTCTGCTGCGCGCTCGCCCAGGAGCACCGCGAGCTGCGCAACCGCGGCTGGGACCCCCGCCTAGGTGCGCGCACACGCATAGATGCACGCGCACACAGCGCAGGGCTCACGAGTACGGGGTTGGGACTGGAAGCCACGGGGATGGCAGTGACTCAGGTGATGCGCGGGGCTCACGAGTAGGGGTTGGAACCCTCGCATACGTGCGACACACAGGGCGGGCGGGTCTCATGCGCAGGTGGTGGGTTGGGTTGGGAAGTTCTTCCCTGTGCGGTCTTGGGTTGACGTGACCTCGCCGCTCGCGAGCTCAAGAACTGCGGCTGGGACCCCCGCCTAGGTGCGCACTGCGGGTGTGGGGTGGGGCTCATACAGAGGTGCGCCCACACAGTGTAAGGCTCGTGCATAGGTGGAATGGGACTGGGACCCTCGCATTTGTGCGCGTTGCGCGGAGTGTTTCTTCTTTGTATGGTCTTGGGATGGGATGACATGAGCACTCGTGAAGCATCTTCACGCCACGCCTAGCTTTCCCTCCTTCCCTTTCTCCTGCACTCTTGCACTATCTTCCCCACCCCATCTTCTCGCCACGCCAACACTTTTCCACCTGTCATTGCCCCTCCCACCCTCTCCTTCCCTCACCTCATCATCGCCCCCTGCGTTCTCCTCCCACTCTCCCACTCTCCCACTCCTCCACCACACTCCCTCTCCCCCTTTTCACACTCTCCCTCCTCACCCCCTCACTCTCCCTCCCCGCTGCTCCCTCTCCCCCCCCCAACCTCTTCCTCCTCCACGCCACCACTCCCCTCTCCCCTGCCCCTCTCCCTCGCCCCCGCGCCAGGCTTCCATGAAAACGTTCGGATATTCCAGTCCCGAGGGCTGGCCCCTCCCCACCAGTGCATGCTGCGCTGAGGGGAAAGGGCCTCTCAATCATCACACATGCGCTGGGTTGGCACACACATGTAAAAAGAACCGAGGAGATCCCAAGGGGGATCACTGTGAGCTAGTTCAGAGCCACCCTTGTTCCCCCCTATTCAAGGGACTTGTTGTGACATCGTACAGCTACAGTACTGAATTGAGAAGGCTTTCCAGTATTTTGGAAACCTTGCCTTCTGCGATACAGGTAGCAGTGCAATACTGTTTCTGGGAGATTGGGCTTCTAGGACAGCAGCAGGCAGTTTTGACAGTAAAAGCACCTCGTTTGTCGGCATCATTTTCGATCTATATTTTGCTTATTTTGCATTTTTCTAAATGACCTGTCAGGAGGAACAGTACAGTATAGCAAAGCAGCTTCCTTAACTCAAATTAGTCATCATACGGTAACCATATTTACAAGGGTGTGATGGGTGTGATGTGGTGCATGATACTGTATCTGACTGAATGTGTTGGTACATACAAAATCACTGGGAAAAATAAGCAGCTAACCCAAATTTACCTATGGTTATAAGCCACACCTTCAGAACAGAAACAATGCCACTCCTAAGTACTGCCAACCCTTCTTAACTCCAACTCTAATGCTATTGAATCTTACCCGTACGTAAATCACTCGCCCCTGGGCTGTGGCCTCCCTGCAGCAGCACCAGTTCCTCTAGTCCACCCATTTTTTCTGTGCTGCTTCTGCCCCTGCACCCGTGGCTTCAACACGAGCAGCAGCCTTCTCGTGCGCCATGGCCGGCACCACCCCCGCCTGCACGTTCTTGTCCGCCGCTGACTGCAGCGCCGCTGCTGCGCCGCCCTTCACCGGCTGAGGACGGGGGGAAGGGGAGAGGGGGGGGGGGAGGGGGGGGTCGCGGAGGCAAAGTGAGCTTCGGTTGCTCCCAGGCCAGGTCTTGTAGAATCCATGACTGTCATTCACATTCAGACGAATACACCCACGCTTGTGTTACGGATATGCCCCATACACGATCAGAGGATCAAGAGATTGATCAAGCTCAAGATGTATATAAAAGTTTCATCCTCACCCCGCCATGGGTCATGGACTCCATGTGTTCAGCTCTAGCAGCGTCCGCCTTAGTGACGGGGCGACTCTTCTCCTCCGCGCTCAGCTGCTCTCCTGGTGGCACCACGTCCCCCATGCGGATCGCCGCGCCCATGCCCCCCTCTTGCCACATCGGTGGCACCACCCCCGCCTGCACATTCTTGTCCGCCGCTGACTGCAGCGCCGCCGCTGTGCCGCCCTTCACGGGCTGAGGACAGGCGGGAAGGGAGAGCGAGGGAGAAGGGGAAACACTGCCCTTGCTACTGCGATCACTTTCAGAAGCATACACTCGGGGCGCGTTATCGGCATGTGTGGAGGAAGATGGAAAGAATTTCAAGTGGCAAGACCCAGCACCGTCGGACTACCCCTTGTTAAGTACCGACTTAGTTACTAGAACCTTGAGAGTCAGAGTTTAGAACAACTCACCCCGCCGTGCGACATCGACTCCATGTGTTCAGCTCTGGCGGCGTCCGCCTTGGTAACGGGGCGGCTCCTCTCCTCCGCGCTCAGCTGCTCCCCCGGCACCACGTCCCCCATGCGGATCGCCTCGAATGGCGATGAGCGCGGAGGAGAGGAGCCGCCCCGTCACTAAGACGGACGCCGCCAGAGCTGAACACATGGAGTCCATGACTCATGGCGGGGTGAGAATCAAGCTGTAATATCTAGGTTCTACTACCGTAAGTAGGTCCATCCTCCGATCTTGTATTGTGCATATCCATAACACACGCATGGGTGTATTCATGTGAATGTGAATCCAGTGGCGGCTTTTATAAGACCAGGCCTGGGCACAAGCGACGCTGACTTCGCCTCCGGCCTCCCCTCCCCCCTCTCTCCCCTTCCCCCCGTCCTCAGCCCGTGAAGGGCGGAACAGCAGCGGCGCTGCAGTCAGCGGCGGACAAGAACGTGCAGGCGGGGGTGGTGCCGCCCATGCAGCACGAGAAGGCTGCTGCTCGTGCTGAAGCCACGGGGGCAGGAGCAGGAGCAGGAGCACGGGGGATGGGTGGCACTGGGTCTGGTGCTGCTGCTGGGAAGCCGCAGACCAGGGGCGAGTAAGTCAAGTGCACTGGAGTTGGGTGAAGAAGGGCTGGGAGGAGCACAGGGGATTGGTGGCAGTGCCACGCACTGGGTCTGGTCTGGCTGGTGCTGCTGCCTGGAAGCCGCAGACCAGGGGCGAGTGACTCACAGAATAGATGAAGAGCATTGGAGTTTGAGTAGAGAAGGGTTGGGGTGGAAATGAGGAGTGGCTGCTGGGCTGGGTTAAATTTCTGTTGGCCTAGTCTGATGCAAACGGTGCCTTTTGTACAAGCAAACTGATGCTTCCTAGTGAAACCGTTTGTAACAAACACTATTCTCTTACAATTACCACAAACCATTGCCTCTACCACACCATCATGGTGTCCTCTCAAGTCACAGCCCTCGTGCCACATGCATGGCACGATCCAGCCCTTGTGGCAAAACCCCAAGGCAGCTGGGGAAATGCGAGCCACACACAGTAGCTGGCAATGCATTTAACGGACAGCTCCCGCCACACCATGAAGCTCTTGACCAGCAGCGGCGGCGGAACACTGCGCACAGCAGCCATGCCCATGTGGGTTGCCCCCGCCGCCATGCAGCCAGCCTTATCCCCACTGCAGCAGCGATCAGCAGGAGCAGGAGCAGCTCCAAGGGCCCCACCGCCACCACCCGCATCTCCCCCATCTCCTCCCCTACCTCCTCCTCACACACTGAGACGACTGAGCCGTTCTCCTCGTCGTCTTCGCTCTCGTGTACGGGATAATCCGAGTCTCCTGGTTCAACATCTGACCCCTCAGGAGCGGTGCCGGTGATGCCGGCCGTGGCGGTGATGCCGGCGGTGCTGGCGATGCCAGTGGTGGTGGTGGTGGTGCTGCTGCTGCTGCTGCTGCTGCTGCTGCTCGTGTCAGCGTCACGACGTCCACTTCCTGGTTCAACAGGGATAGTTCTTCCTGGGTGAGCATTGGCCAAAGAAACAACTCTCACTGTTTTCTCCCCCAAGTCGCCACCGTCAGACGCGCCTTTCCCACGTGCAGCGCCCGCATCCATGGGGCATCCGCGCGCCTCCCGCGGAGAGCGCTGCGCCGCGCCTGGTACCGCGCCCTCAGTGCTGCTCATGCGCGCCACGAGGGTGCAAGCGAGGCAGTCGGAGAGCTGAAGCGCGCTTCAAATTGAACAGAGAGAGTTGCCGGAGACAGCCGCGGGACAGTCGTTGGAAACCTGGCAGTCCGCTTTGTTGCTCGCGGCTTACGAATCTCAGAAGGCAACAGTCGTCGCAGTGGGACGAGAGACATTTTCGCTCTTGAAACTTGACAGGGAGCAAGATTCTAGTTAGAATCGCGAATCGCGGAGCCTCAAGATTGGGAACATGCGGCACAGAGCAATTCTGAGATGGCTTCAGGCGGAGCACCTCATCCATGCATGCCGCCGCCTCCTACGGGCCGCGTTACTGAGAGCAGATGCGGCGGCCCGCTATCGTCGCCTAAAGGCCCGGGCGTGGGACCACAGTTACACGTGGCGGGGACCTGAAAAAGCTGGTTAGGGATGTCGTAAAAGCAGCTGCGATATTGTGCCTTGTCACAGTAACTGTGTTGTTATATGTTCCAAGGATGAAAGAAACTCTGGCTGACAATGAAATTGTAGTAACGGTTTTGATCGCTGTGTGAGGTAACAGCCAGTAGGCCCATTTCGATCACGCATGTTGTAACATTTTAAAGCATAGTTCTGTACTCGATACAGCTTCTGGCACCCTCTCCTGCACCACCGAATACGTACAAACTGCGAATTGTAAAACCGCGACCCTCACCCACAACCAGAAATTGTTTTTCCAGGAGCACACCTTCAGCTAACCATCAACCCTCAGCCGCCACGCGTTCCACTCGCCGCATTCCACGGTCACATGTGCAGCCCCATGCACCTTACTGCGCTCCGCACCCCCGTTAAATTCCACTTATGCTGTCATGATTTTCAGACTTGGAAGTTTCGCGTCGTTGTCGAGGGAGGAACTAGCCATGTCCATCCATTGTTTGTCAGGTGGGAGCGAAGGGGCAGCTGGTGGTCCTGTTCCCCTCATCACACGCCCAAGCTCCGTCTCAGTCTTTCAAATGCCCGCCTGCAAATCCTGCGGAGATTTGTGATGTGCCTGCAAGCTATTCTCTGCTCCTAATCTCCAATCACCACCTTTCGAAGCAGGAAGTACTTACTTCCTGCTTGCGTCCCTATTTTTTAGCCGCCGCAACAACCCATCCGTACGTGCGTGCGTTCCCATCATGGCGGCATCTAACGACGTCGCGCCAGCGAGTTTCACCAAGACCCAGCTGACGCTCTACGCGCCGCCCGACAGGCAGCACGAGCGCGTGCTGCACCTGGGCCCGCCCGGCAGCAGCAGCAGCGGCCGCCGCGGCAGCGGGTCGACGGACATACACGTGCAGGAGATCGGCGACCCCGACGAGCAGGCGGAGGGGTCCATCGCAATGCAGCGGGAGAAGTCGCTCTACGGCAGCAACGCTGCTGGCACCAGCCAAGGAGCCAGGGGTGGTGGAAGCGGCGGCGGAAGCAGTGGGAGTGTTGCGGGTCCGGGCAGCAACGCTAGCAGCAGCACCACGGGCGGCTGTGGCTGTCCGTACGCTGATAAAGACAACAGCAGCGGGAGCGGTCGCAGCAGTGGCGCCAGCCGCGGTAGCAACAGCAGGAACAAGAGAGGAGGAGGAGGAGCGGGAGGGGAGGAGGAGCAGCAGCGCAGCTTGGAGTACGAGGTGCGTACAGCAGAGCCGTCGCAGCTGTTCCTGTACATGCCGCCCTCGCAGCAAGCCAGCCACGTGGTTGAAGGCAACGAGAGCCGCCGCCAGCAGGGCGCGCAGAGGGGCGTGGGCAAGAGGGGAGGGCAAGCTTCGAGGCTTTGAGGGGCTGTGAGGGGCTGTGAGGGGCTGTGGGGGGCTGTGGGGGACTGTTAGACTGGAGTGATGCCGCCACACAGCCTAGTTTCTGCAGGAGAGGTTGCAGGTAAGTGCCGGGGTGGGGTAATGGTGTTGATGTGGGAGTGGAATGTGTAGGCAGGGGGTAGGCTGCAAGGATGGGAGTTAAGAGTAGAACGGGTGTGTATGTATGTGTACATATGTGTACATAAAGCATGAACATGTGCGAGTGTCTGGGAGCAGAGGAGGGGACAGAGCAGGGAGCAGTGGGGGTTCAAAGGCCGCACCTGGCTGCTGTGCATCCGGAACGTGGATGCCATCTTTGGCGGGGCAAGTGGGGCAGGGCCGCCGGTAGCACATACGGTAGCTGTGGTGTGATAAGGATGGGTCATGCTGGTAGTGCAATTGATGTTTCAGTTCCACCCAGACTGATGTAGGTGGTGTAGACTTGAATGAAGCCCGTCCGTGTGCATGTGGATCGGTTGCCCAACAGGGGCTGGACAGAAAGAATCCAAAACAGAGTGTGTGAATAGGTTAGGGTCGAGATCAAACTTTTTAGTAGCACCTACACTGACAGCATGATTTGGACTCCTGTAACGGTACCTGTGTACGTGTGTGATCGTACAGGGCTTGAAGGGGGCCGGGAGTTCAAGGGTGGAAGAGAGTGGCCATGCGAGGAGATGCGTCGAATACCCGTGCCTGCAACCTGGGGATTGTCCTTGTCCGTCAGTGAGCTCTCTGAACGCTGACGCTCCTCCAGCTCCCCAGGGATGGAAAAGGATTGCCACGGATTAGTAAGCGATCTGCGCCTCAACGAATGTGCTCCGATGCTGTTGCTGCTCCTGCTCATGCTTCTGCTGTGCCTGGTACTGCTGCTTCGGCTCCGACCAAACAACCTCGCACCGTCAATTTCATCCACATTCGGCAGAGATGGGCTCATATTCTCCAGAGATGGGCTCAAACACAAACTGGCCGGTGGCGGGCTTGACCCCAAACTGCTGAGAGGTGAGTTTAAATTCGCCTGAGACGGACTTGAAGTCAAACTGCCCAGCAATGGGTTCAGATTTGTCAGAGGCAGGCTTGAAGTGAACCTGCGCTGAAAGAAGCGGGAATGCGACGACGGCGACGACTGGCTGAAGCTGCGTCGTGGCTTCCCACCAGGGGTATTCCCGCCATGAAGCTTCCACTCCATGGGCTTGCTAGCCCCGTGCTGGTGCAGCACGGCAGAAAGTGAAGCTTCATTCAACCGGCTGGCTGTCCAGGAGCGAGAGTACAATCCACCTGGGGCGCCGTGTGTTGCACTGTCACTCTCATCAGGTGATTCCTCAGGTAATTCCTCAGCACAACCGCAGCACTTAGTTCGGCCAGCAGCCAAACCAGCAGCACAAGCGCAAAACCTCCTCCTCTCAAAGAGATCCGACGTCGACCACCGCCGTCGATTCAACCGCCGATCAGCCACAGCAATTCTGTCAACCGGCAAGCGAGCCCTCTGCTTCTCTGCCTCGTCTCCTCTGCTAGTCTCTTCCTCTGCCGTCTCCTCTGCCTGTGCTGCCGATCGCAACAGGTCAACAAACTGCTGGCATCTCACCGCGTTCAGCTCGCGCTGGGACTCCAGCAAGCTCAGCTTGCCCTGCAGGCTAAGACGATCCAAATCATCTGCTATCATGCCACCGCTTCCTCCTCCTCCTCCGCGGCCGTTGCTGCTGATACTCCCCCCAAAGGACCACCTCCTCCTGTTGACTCTTCCCAGAAGCCGGGAAGAAGCCAGGGACGAGGGGGGATTGTCACAGTGTGAAGCATCGGGACTCGGTGATTCGGTGAGTGCTGAGAGTCTGGCAGCAGATGCTGCCGAATCGGAATCAGAATCAGATTTTGAATCAGAGTTCGATTTCTTAGTAGCAGCAGCTGTTTCCTTGAAGCTTGAATCCGGATCACCAATCCAGTCAGACGAGGTGCTGTCGATAGAAAGACGATACCGCCACCTGTTGACAGATTGACCCCTTCTTCTATTCCATGATGCAGTGAAGTCTTTCTCTGCTCCTGAAGTCCCGAGTTTCGACCCTGAAAGGTCCGAACCAAAAAGGTCCGACTCTGAAACGTCCGACCTTGGAGCTTCTGCTGCTGAAGTTGGGGAGCCAGCTGTTTCCGACGCCATTCCACCAGAGGAGAGCTCCGGGAACGAGTGAAAACGAATCGGTGATTTCTGAGACGGCGACTGAAAGCACTCACGGTGACATGCTGGATTTGGGAGGCTACTATCCAACGCCAGCATTTTCTTGAATTAAAGCTTACTAACTCGAACCCGTTGTCAGCTGAAGCTGGAATATAAATAAGAAAACGAGCGCTTTCTCTTTGCAGGATGTGGCAGTCTGAAAAAAACCGGGGACTCCACTTCAGTCAGTAAGCAATCACTCTCGTCGGTTCGAATAAAAGAGTGAGCCTTTCCAAGCCATCGTTGATAGTAAAAAGCAGCAATATATGTGAAGCGCCGTCTTGTGTTAGTACACGTACTATTGGGAATGCTGCTCTCACCAGCAACTCTCGAAAGAAGTTCTCCTCCAGTGTCAGATGTACCCAGATAAAGAGACAGGTGAGGTTTCCTGCGCAGTCGTTGGGAAAATAAGAGTTCACGGCCCATATTCAGGGCCTTTTAGGCTGTAAAATCAGCCACCGCCCTTCAAAGTTGGAAGAAACAGTGATTCTTCAATGGCGTCGGAGACTGCAGTACAAGGCAGAGCTCACTGACCTCTGCCAGGCGAGGACAGAGCGGCGGAAGCGCGGCGGGCCTATCTAACGCGGGTCGAAAAACAGATGCAAGCCTGTTTAGCGCTTGTGGCTTGGTCAAGAAGAACAGAAGGCCGCACCCAAGAGCGCCGTGTTGTCCTGATACAATGAGGTGGTCTGGAGCGGTGTGTATTTGGAATGGCCTGGGTACTTAGGGTATCCAGCAAAACGAACCCTTTTAGATGCTCTCACAACGCACACGTTCGGGTATTCACATGCCCGAATAATCCAAGGGTAGCCAAACACCCCAGTTTCTCGCGGTTCCTCGGGCTTTGACAGGCGAAGGAGCCGGCCGCCGCTTCAAACGGAAAATCCCGTACAGTCGATGCTCAGTCAATCCCGTGAATTTTCCCTGCTCAGATCGTAACCTATCCCTCGTGCATTCTAACACAGCCAACGGCCCCTCGTCTACAAGAACATTTTGCCGAACATGCGGAAAATGACATCCACAGTTGCGCAAGTGCCCAGACACACCAAGGGATGTCATCCCCAGATTTCCAGATATTTTCGAATTGTAACTTTTAGGGTCATTACAGTCCCTTTTTTGCCCGTGGCGAAATTCAACGAAGCTGTCGATATGTAGTTGCTCACATCAATCCCCTGCCGCCCCAAAAGGTGGCGGGCACGAAATGGGCATTAGCTGTACTGCACTGTAACATCAGTCATGATGTGACTGAAGCATCAAATCGTTGAACCCGGCACGTTGAGGAGACCAGACAATGACGTTGTCTGTCGTGATCAAGGACTAGAACTTAGGGTAGTTCGTTACGACAGAGAAACACAGCTGTACTGAAATCGCCCGTGCTTGTGAAATTAATGTTATGGTCCACACTGTTCAGCGAGCCATAGACCACGCAACGCAACCTCCAGAAAACCGTGGAATGAACACGAGGAGTGAGGGCGACTTGCTTGCGATAGTTTTTCACAAAGGACGAGTGAAGGCAACCACAAGCCAGGGGAAGGAACCAGGACCGGAGTGAAGGACGGAAGTCTAGCAAGTTAGCAACCACAGAATCCCCCTGCAGTCAAGAGACTTGAGCGCAGGAGTTCACAAGTAGCATACCTATCCTTGCGTATACGAAATGCACTTGCACCTCGAAACGACGTCAATTGAATGTATAAGGTTGAGTACGTTTCGGATGATTCAGAGTGGTTTGTTTACACATTTGAACGGTTCATTAGGGTCTTGAGGAAATTTGAGGTTTGTCACACCCCTCCTCACCTTACCCCGAACGAGCAACTTGGTCACTGAAGGCGGTGTGGAACTGAGGAGTGGAGGCTGCGGTAGCTTATGGCAGATTACAGTGCGTTTGGTACGGTTCGTTCGGCCAGTCGGCCTTCCTCAGCTGTGCCAAGTGCACGCACCTGATCTGACCATCTCGTGTGTGTGACTTTCTCGTCTCGTCTCGCCTGCTGGTTGTTTCACAGAAACCCATGCAATGATTTCACTTCAATGCTGTACCCAGCGAGCCAACTCGAGTTCGTGAGTCCTGACTGGTCGAAAGCACTCCAATGAAATCAAAGCAGGACTATCCGCCGTACAACCTGACTTGATTGAAATCTCAGTGTTCTTTCTCTGAAGAAAAAATGAAATGATTGATTGTCCTATAACCAGTGCATCATGAATGTGCTTTTATTTTTATAGCACTATTTGTTTCCCCCCTCTACCTTCCAACATGGTACGAAAGGACCTAAGGGCGTGTAAGATCCGCGAAGCAGTGGATTTGGCTGCATTTCTGCCGAGCATGTGGCCGTCGCCAAGGTTCACAAAGTTAGACAGACTGACCAGAAAGCCGGGCATACTGGTAGGATGGTTGTAGATCTGCCATGTTGGTTGGTTATTTCTCTGAGATGAGGACAGAAGAACAAGCTTTCACAATTTATAATGCTGACGGCAAACTAGAGCCACTGCTATATAATTCATTAAACCAAGACATTCATTCAAGCCTGCAATATGTATAACAATGTCTTCAAGCGGAGTGGTCACAGCCTTCATGCATGATGCGGCGGTGAAAATGAGCAAAGAACCAGAGCAAGTCGTCAAAGCAGTGGCAGTCACTCGCATGTTGCCCCCTCATCGCACCACACTCACCCTGCTCCTCCAAGCTTGCTGCCGGCTCTTCTCCTCCCCCCATGGGCTCTTCTGCACCGCCATTGGCCACCCTCTGGAGAGTGGCTGCTCCCCCATAAACCCCATTCCGTTGCATGGTTCTATCGGGAATCTCTTCTGCAGCGTCTCTCTCCCTGTCCTCATCTCCTTCATCATTTCCTTCGCCCCTCCCCTTGGCATCCAGCGCCCTTCCTTGCCTCTCCCCACCACCCTCCTGTCCGCACCTCACTCCCACCTCCCCCTCCATCTCCCCCCTCCCCCTCTCTTCCTCCATCTGCTCCCCCTTCTCCCACACTCCTCCACTCCTCCTCTCCCTCCCATCCCCGCTCCGCTCATCCCCACATCCCATCCTCCCTTGTGCCTCACACCCCATACCCTGCGAGTTACCCGCATGGCCCCCCGCGTGCCAGCAGCGGCAGAGCCAGAGCAGAGCCTCCACGGTGCTGACAGCGTCTGGGGCCACGCCGCGCGTGTGGTAGCGCCAGAAGGCCGAGCGGATGCTGCTGGGCAGCCGCACGTGCGGCAGGGACGCCAGCTGGGGGAGGGCGAGCAGCGCTGATGCGCCCTTCCACTGCGGTTGAAGGGGGGGGAAGTGGCGAGGGGGAAAGGAGAGGGCGGGGAGGGGAGGAAGGGAGAGAGGTGGTTAAGGGAAGGTTAGCGGTGGGGGAAAGGAGTTGGATGGGATGCTCAAGCTGGCGCGCTCCGTGCGGTGGAAGATCATGTGCGCGTGGAACGGGAGGGAGACTTGTGGGGTGAGGTGTGATGGGTAACGCCTGGGTGGGGAGAGCAGGGATGGGGGACGAGACGAGCGGGAAGGGGAGGACGGGGTGGCTTGGAGCAGGGGGCAGAATTTCGAAAGAGAGGTTTGAGGGTTGGGGAGGAGAGGCAATAAGTATTGGTGGGGGTGATGAATTTGGATTGGAGGGAACCGGGGTGAGCGGAGGGGTAGGGATGGAGTTGCGGAGGGAAGTGGAAGGTAGGGTTCTCACGATGGGAACCCAACCAGCCATCCTACCCGGAGGCAGGTGAAGCAGAAGTAGTGCTGTGACTTGCCACACCCTGGGCACTGCGTGCGACTTCTGAGTCGACTCAAAAGGCACCACTCCCACCCCCCACCCGTCCTACCCGGAGGCAGGTGAAGCAGAAGTAGTGCTGTGACTTGCCGCATCCAGGGCAGTGTGTGCGCGACTCCAGCTGCTCCAACGGCTCCTGTGAGGAGAGGCGCAAGTCTGACGTCAGCGGCGGGAGCGTCCAATCCGGAACGCGCCACGACATGAGCAATTTTCCGTCGTCGCCGCGTTTGCGCGGCTGGCGCGGTTGGCGGTGCGCCGAGTGCGGACCCGATATAAGGTCGCACGAGTCCAGCTCCGATAACGCGACGAGCGGACCGGCTTCGTCGGGCATCGACGCAGCGGCAGGACAAGACTGCTCAGAATCACCGTCGGATAAGTCAACCTCGTGGGAAATATCGACGGTTGTGGACAGTCGGCGTGATCTATTGGCATCTAGCGCTTCCGCGGAAGAAGAGCGGGCCGCCATGACCGATGAATCTGGGAGATCGCCAGCGTGAGAGCTCGCCGAGCAGGATCCGGAATCTGCGGCGTTTGCGGCGAGCCGTACGGCGTCGTGCGCCATTGTGGGGAAGAAAGTAGCGGGAGGAGTAGCGGGAAGGGGGGGGGGGTGGAGCAATGGGGCAAAGTAGTGCTGGTGGGTGGGGAGCAGCAGAGTTTCGGCGTGGGTGCTGTTACTATCGACGACGAAATGCACAGTCGCTACCCGCGATGTTACAATTGTTCTATCAATTCGCACACTCTCTAGAACACTTGTTCTTAGCTATTATTTCCTCAAGCAGAAAAACATCTCCATAGGCTGTTGAAAATAAAGTGCTGTTTATAAAAAAGAGACAAAACAGCAGACAAAAATGGGCTGGGTGGTTCAGGGTTTAGGGAGCCAAAAAAGAAGAGCCAGAAATAGTGCTCATTAACATCAACACCTAATCCCGGCACATCCAAACTGGCCCTAAAAAGCCCTGAAACCATGCCGCATGCCGCCTGCAGAAGGACTCGACACCAGACCCTTCCCAACAGCAGCAGCAGCAGCCGCAGCAGCAGCACCCATGGCCGCAACAGCAGGCCGTGGGGAAAACCGAGGCGAGAAAAGGTTATCCGCTGATGAATCCACGCGGCCAGCATGGCTCGTCCAACTCAATGTGGAATGGGAGGAGCCGGTCGAGGGAATGCGCACACTCATAGTATCATTGCCTCCCAAGCAATCCCTCCCATCACTGCCCATTTCCAGCTGTGGAAGGTTCCGAAACGTTTTCTCCCCCCTTGCGTGTGCTCCCTCTCTCAGCCCTCTGTGCACGCTTATCACCGAATACTGCCCAAGCCCGGCATAGACTGCTCCCGACGCCCCTCCCCCACCCTGATCCTCCAACACAAAACCATCAACCTCGGATGAGCCGGCAGCAGCCACCGCTTCCCCTCCGCTCCTGCTTTTATCCGAGCCTAGTCCAGCCACGCGGCAGCGCTGCCTGAGCTGCAGAATCTCCTCTTCCATTGTGGCGATCTTCTGCTGCTGCAGCACCAGCATGCGCCACGCAGCATCGTGCAGGCCTGCCTCTGGGGCTCCCCACGCGGCCATGCTCGCCTGGGCCACGCCTCTCCCACTGCTGCCACTGCTGGTTGTCATTCCCGCGCTGCTGCTCGCTGCTCCTGTGGAGATGCTGCGAGAGTAGCCTCTGTTCTCGGCCACACACTGGCCGCTAGGGGCTCTGCTGATGTCGTTGTGATGACCTGCACTGGCACTGGTCTCGCTAGAAGAACCAGGAAAACCACCAGACACAGCACCAGGAGCAGCAGCAGCGGCAGCAGCAGAGCGAGGGACTGGTAGGGCGGTGCTTGGCAGGTGGAAAGCGTGCCTGACATCGCCATCCGAGGCATTGGCATGAACAGCAGCAGACACCTCACCAGCGGCAGCAGCAGCAGCAGCAGCAGCAAAATGGTCTAAGCTGCCATCCAGAGCTGTTGCCATGTGTCCGTGCCTTACCACCGGCATGGTTCCCCGGCGGATCAGTGACCGAGTGCCGCCTCCCACTCTGCTGCCGGACTTGCCACTGCCGCCTGCACTGCTACCAGCAGTAGCAGCAGCATCCGTCGCACCCGTACCTATTGCTGCCATGCTGTTCCCGCTCCCGCCAGTGGAGATGCTGCTGCTGCTACTGTTGCCGCTGCTGCTCTTGGCACGCAAGCCAAAGAGGCTGCGGCGGCCATGCAGGGAGGAGTAGTTGAAGCTGCTAGCGATGCGAGAGATGAAGCGCGAGCGCGCAGCAGAGGCGATCCAACCTCGTGAGACAGAAGCAGCTGGCGACACCGACCCATCCACCAGCTCTACCGCCGCCCATGCTGACACAGCTGCTGCTGCTGCCTCGTCATCGTCATCCACACTGCAATCGTCAGCAGCAGCAGCAGCTGGACGTGCGGAAGCAAGAGCAGAATCTTGAGGGGCAAGAGATTCTGAAGAAGCAGCGCTGAAAATAGCGGATTCAGTAGCTGCTGAACCGAGTGGGGCGGAGGCGGAGGCAGCATCTGACAGAGTGGGGCCGTCTGAAGCAGCAGCGGCAGTAGAAGCAGGAGGAGCTGGAGGAGAGGGAGCGAGAGAGGAGGGGGGCCGGGGGGGTGTGGCGGTCGGGGTGCAGCGGGCGTAAGGCGAGGAGCGAGCGGAGGAGGAGTGAGCGGGCGAGTCGTAGTGGCGGCGGCTGGGCGTGCGCAGACTGACTAGGAACTCGAGGTCCAGGGGGCCGTTCTCCAGGTCGAACAGCTGGCCATGGAGGGAGAGGGGGGAGGAGAAGGATGGGGAGGAGGAATTTGGTGAGGTACAGTGGGCATGAGAGGGCTTTCAGAGCAGGAATTAGCTGGCGCGGATGTTCACGCACTAAATATTGAAGGGACGGACGAATGGACGGACAGGACGGACGGTCTAGAGCACACGAGAGCGATTCTCCTTGAGCAGCCTTACCTCCTGCAGGATGCGGCCCGACGGGGTCTTCTGGTGGAAGATGGGCCGCCGAGTCTCAGTCGCCTTTGTCGATGCGTCCCTGCCAGGCGTATTCCCGCTGTCGCCTGCCACCCACGGCGGCCTGCCGCCCAGATCCGTCCACTCCTCGAACAGCGAGCTCCCCGCTCTTCCACCGCGACCGCCGCGCGACCTCTCGCGAAAATCCTCCTCGCCGCTGTCGCCGCCGCCGGAGCCGTCACCGCTGCCAGCAGTGATATTAGACGAGGACAGGTCGAGGCATGCTGACGTGGCGCGCTGCCGCACAAACCCGGGTCGCGCACTCGAGGCAGCCGCAGCGGCTGCTCGTTCCGAAGCTCCCAAAGACCCGTCGCCTTCCATTCCGCCGTCTCCCGAAGCGAATCGCAGCTCGTTTCCGGAACCGGAAGGCAATCCGACGGCACTCCTCGTCTGCGAGTGGCAAACAGCGGCTGAGGCATCAGTTAGCGCGACGCTAGCGCCTGAGGAACCAATAGTAGCGGCAATCCCGCTGGCATCGCCTCCGCGCCGCTCCGTTTGCGCTGCCATGGCCGCTGTTCCGCGGACTCCGGCGGCGGCGTAACCTTGACGGCGACGCGGCAAGCGCGGCGTTGGCACGTCAGCAGCCGCATCGTGGTCCATCCACGCGTCGAAGCGCACCTCGCTTTGCCGCAGCGACTCCGAGTCGCCGGAGCCAGCAAGGTCTGCTGACGTGTCAATAAACGATTCCGCTGGTACCTCTAGCAGCGGCGGTACCGGCCGCACGTAGTGACCGGGCCCGCCGGTCGCCGGCGCCTGGGAGTTGGATTCGACGTTTGTAGAGTCCGAGTCGGAGCGCGAGTCGAGGGAGTCGAAGAACGTCATCATGGGCACGGGGAAGCGCGACAGCGTCGCCGCTGCCGCGAACGCGCCGTGCCGCATCATCATGCTTGCAGCCTCGGCTTGGAATCCGCCTGACCCCGCGAACGCCGCCGCCGTCGACGGCAGGTACGTCGTCAGTGACGACTGGCGCCACAGAGGCGACGCCATTGAATTATTCTGCGTCGCCCGCGCCGCGTCGTAGCAGCAGTTGTCCTGATCGACTGTAATTGGGGCTGTGGTAAGGAATGGGACTCCCGGCGTGTAGTCGCCTTCAACACGTTCTGGCTGTGCTGTCCGTGCGTCGGACATCGAGGCGCTTCGCAAACGGTCGCGCGCCGCGTCAGCGTCAACAGAGCGGCCCGAAGCTGGCGACAATTCATCTTCGGGCGAGGACGGCGCTGCCACTATCGCCTCGAAGACGCACTGCGGAGCGACCGCGCCGGAGCAACCGCGACGGCGGCTCGCAAGCTCCGCATGCACGCGATCGCTGGTGCTGGTTCCGCCGAAAGCGGCGCATTTTCCGGTGCCACCGGTGGTGCTGCGCCCGTGGAGCTGGCCGGCAGATTGCACATGATGTGGGAACGCGTGAAGCTGGCCACTGGCAGTACTACAAGTGCTACAACCGGCGGCTGTAGCGGCCGGCTGGCTCCGCTCAGGGCTGGTCGTTCGCGCCCGTTCAAACGGCGGCGTCGTGGGCGAGTGTTCTCGAGGCAGGTGTGAGAATGACTCGTTCTGCGACACTGGCGGTTCCGAATGTGGCGATGGCGGAGGCCGCTTCTGCGGCGGGCGCGGCGACGGCGGTAGATGGTGGTGGTTCGATAGTGTCACCACTGGCGTGGGGTTGTGGTGAGGCGACTCGGGCTGGATAAGTTGGCGTTGGGGGTCGATTAGCGCGTAAGTTTCGCGCGACGATAAGCGGCTGTTGGCGTCTAGCGACCGTCGGCTGCCCGCACGGCGGAGCTCGTGTTGCGGAAACTCCGCGAGCACGCGATCGGCGGAAATTCGCTGCTCGTACAATCGCACGCTGTCGTCGGGCAGTAGGACGATCACAGACGACGCGTTGAGCGACGGACAGGGGGAAAGTGAGGGCGATGCTGTACCGAACGATTGCTGCAGCGCGGGAGAGCGACAGGAGAAGGAGGAAGGCGAGGAGAGGAGAGACGAGGCCGTAGATGACTTCTCAAACGTCGCCATGGCGACTGCGTGTTGGCCGTCGTACTTGTTCCTCACAGACGTACTGAATTTCTCCCAGGCTGAAGACTTCGAGATTTTGGTTGAACAAACAAAGAATGTGATTGCTGGAAATTGGATAGCGTTGATTACTAATCAGACATCCCCCATGGTCAGCGAGAAATGTTGTTGCACAAAAACAAAGGAAACGTGTTTTGCCTACCATCAGTAGAGCTGGAGAACTCGACTGTACGTCATTTCGAAACGGTGAGATTGGCCTTAGCGAGCAATGGAGAAGACTGCTGCTGTTGTGTTCATAGGGTCAAGAGGAGACGACAATGAGTGGAACGGAAGAAGCCAAGGGAGCTGAAATGGCGGTTTTTTCTGTTTGTGGGAGCATGAACGGGACAGATGACACAGTGGCACACAGTGCAGGATGTGGCTGGCATTGCTAGCAAATGGACTTTGGAAAGGCTATACTTCCTCCATGCCCTAAAAAAGAACAGGATTGATTGTAGTACGAGAACAACAGCACTTTCGTTGCTGTGTGAAGGCAACAAAAAGAACAAGGTACTGTACAGCAGGTGTTGTTGGCAACAAAAACACCTTGCAAGCAATGCTTTCCGCCACCTGGTTACACTTAGCTGGGTGAGGAAGGGAAGCAAGTCATGAAATGGCAGGGTGGACCAAGATGCCACGCCACCTTCCAACATTCAAGACTGGCGAATCGCCACTTGTTGGCGTGTTTCTCGTCAGGTGTACGTAAACAACGCGACACGACGTAAAGCTCTCGCCAGTCACGATGACTCACGACTTTGACTGATGGCTGCTTCTCTCAAGTGCAGAGTTTATCCTTGCTACCATTGGTTGAAAACTGTTGCACCTTCCAGATCTGTGGGTAAAGGAAGCGAGGCAAAACGCGTCTCGTGACCAAAGAAGCAACGGCTCTCAGCGAAAAAAAAAAACTATATATACATATACATTTACATCTTACATATACATATGCATATACATATACAAATACATATACATATACATATACATATACATATACATATACATATACATATACATATACATATACATATACATATACATATACATATACATATGTCAAACTGTATTTGTTTTCTGTAGGCTGTAGTGGGGCATACCCTAAAGGGTACAACACTTTAGGGTTATGTAGTACTTGTAATCATGCTTCCTACTGTTGGGCTGAGAAAAAGCCCTTAGGATCTTTGCAGGGATGAACTCTGAGTGGGACTGATGTAATAGCGGAAGCGTTTAATGAAGTATTGTGAACCACCTTGCGCTAGTATTTGAGGGCAAAGTAGATTGATTAAGACAAAGAGATACAAGATTATATAAGAGTACAAGGAATATGAAGGGATACGGTTATAACTGTTTTACTGTTGCTGTTGCGGTTCGATACAGTGACGACTCGGGCAACTGCTCTGTAGCGAGTCAGTTGTGTGTCCTTGCTGTCGCGCTGTATTTGTCAGGTCAAAGGTCGCTGACCTTTGACTTTCGCGTAACCTCCAGCGGTTACTTCAACCTCCGAGGGTTGACTCGTTGGTGCCTCGATATGCTTTGCTTTGCTTGTGTCTTGGTGTTTTGACACGACAGAGGCGCTTAAGACTGATTGTTTCCAACACTCCCCTTCGCTTCTGGAGTGTCGCTGCTGGTGACGTGGCTCTGTCCAGTCAGCAGCAAGCAGTACTCGAACTTCTGCTTTCCGAGCTTCTTGGTCGGGTAGTCAGCTGCCATCTCGGACGTGAGGCAGTATGACAGCTCGAGCCTCCCTTTCTCGATCTCGTCCTTCACGAAGAAATATCGCAGGGCGATGTGTTTCGTCCTGTTCGCGAAGCCGTTCTTGTTGGCAATGCGAATTGCCGACTGGTTGTCGCAGAACAGAGTGAAGCTGGGTAACTGAGCCAGCTTCGCTTCTTCCAGCAGTTCGCGAAGGTAAAGTCCTTCCTTGGTGGCTGAGCAGAGTGCAATATATTCTGCTTCAGCTGACGAGAGGGCGATTAATTCCTGCTTGCTCGACTGCCAAGAGATAGGTCCGATAGGTTCGAGGCGGTAGATGTAGCCAGTGCGAGAATTCCTGTTGTCGGAATCGCCAGCGTGATCGGCGTCGACGTAGCCGATTAACTTAGGCGGCGTAGTTGCGTTCTTGTAATAAGTTAGACCAATCGTCGGGGTGCTAATGAGGTAATGAAGAGCGCGGTCGAGTTCTGCTAGATGTTCCGCTTCGGGCCTCTTGAGGTAGGTGGCGAGTTGACTTGCAGAATACGATAGATCTGGGCGGCAGGTGACAGCTGCGAAGAGAAGGCAGCCCAGCTTTCTCTGGTAGTCGCGTATGCCGGCGGGCTTGAGTAGAGCAGAGCCTTCTTTGTTGTTTCCTGTCGTGTAGCGGTATGGTGTGGAGATAGCAGTTGGTGTGAGTGCGAAGCGCTTGGCGATGGTGTCGGCGTACTTCGCGGCGCTGAGGTAGATGGCGTCTTCCTCTTCCCGGATGTTGAGCCCCAGGTACTGTGTAACGGTAGATGAGACTGTCAGTGTGAGATCCTGCTGCAGCTCCCCTTCGAACCAGGTGGTGACGCTGTCGGTTGAGCCGATGTAGAGGAGATCGTCTACGTAGACGATTAGCAGGATGTAATCTGCGCCTTTCGTGAGTCGGTACATCCCCTGATCGTGTGGTAATTGCTTGAAGCCGATGCGAATGAGGCGGGTGTGCAGGTACTGCTGCCATAGCCGCGGAGCTTGCTTGATCCCGTAGAGCGACTTTAGCAGCTGACAGACTTGGTTGGGCTCCCCGTTGGTACCGTGCGGTAGTTCCACAAAAATTTCTGCGTCAACGGGTGCGTAGAGAAATGCGTTCGCGACATCGATTTGCCGTAGATTCTTTTTCTTCATGGCGGCGATCGCGAGAAGGATTCGGAGCGAAGTGTGTCGGCTGACCGGAGCGAAAGTTTCGGTGAAGTCTCGCCCGTGTTCTTGGTCGAAGCCGCGCACGACCCAGCGTGCCTTGAATTTGTCAATGGTGCCGTCGGCCTTCGTCTTCACGCGGAAAACCCATTTTCCGGTGAGAATGGTTTTGTTCCGTGCTACGCCGATGGGGACAATTTTCCACGTGTTGCGCTCCTCTAATGCCTTCAGTTCTTTGTCCATGGCTTCGCGCCATTTTTCCCTATGCCCCCCCCCCAGAGCCTGCTGAACTGTGGCAGGCTCCTTAGGAATGGCCGTGCCGTGGACTGCGGTGACGAGCCCGAGTATCTGGAGTCCACTCGGTGTGTAGCGGGGGAGTGACATGTCCGCGGGATAAGCAGCTTCGTCTCCCGCTTCCGGATCAGGTGCGAAGTTGGGTCCTACGCGTTCTGCTTCGTTGGTGTTTACTTGTGCAGGTGTAACGTAACCGTTGTCAGCGAAATAGTAGTAGGTTTCGGCGTTGATGCTCTCGCGTGGGTTTTCGTCGTCCATTGGCACGTTGACGGAGCAGTAGGGGAGGGGTCCGGCTTCTTCCGAGGCTCCTTCCACGTTCTGCTCGTCCCAGTCAGCTTCGTCTTCTGCCGAAGCGAAGGCTCGGTCTCCACGGAAGCCACCTGTGGGGTCTCGGTTTTCGTCCAGGTTGGCAAGGTACGTCTGCAGTGTGAGTCGCTCGTAGAAAATGACATCACGTGCTGCCACTGCTTCTTTTGTCTCGACGTCGAAAATCTTCTATGCATTGTAGTGTTTTTCGATGCCGAGGTGTAGTCCCCACTGTGCGCGTTGAGAGAATCGTCCTGCTCGTGCAGATGGAGGTCAGTACTGTACCATGCAGCCGAAGACTCGTAACATTTATGTGCTGCCCAATTTTCCTGTCCACAGCAGATGCGGTGATGTGTTGTTCGGGAGTGACGACGAAGAAAGCAAGTTGTGCAGCATCACGGCGTGGTCCATTGCTTCGGGCCACTGGTGGTTGGGTAGCCGCATGCCACGTAACAGTTTCCGCATGG